ATTAAGGGAAATCGGCCTGACGACACTGGAGGACAGGAGGGTCAGGGGAGACATGATAACGACATATAAAATTCTGCGTGGAATATACAAGGTGGACAGGGAGGGGACACAGAAACAAGAGGTCACAATTGGAAGTTGAAGACACAAATGAGTCAGAGATATTAGGAAGTATTTCTTCAGTCATAGAGTTGTCAGGCAGTGGAATAGCCTAGAAAATGACGTAGTGGAGGCAGGAACCATACACAGTTTTAAGACGAGGTTTGATAAAGCTCATGGAGCGGGGAGAGAGAGGACCCAGTAGCAACCGGTGAGAGGACGGGGCCACAGGAGCTAAGACTCGACCCCTGCAACTACAAAATAGGTGTACACACACACACACAACACACTCATCACATACACACACACACACACTCATACACACACTACACACACACACACACACACACACACACACAACATACACACACACCACACACACACACACACACAAAACACATACACACAACACACACACACACACACACTCACACATCACACACATACACATACACACACACACAAACACACGGTAATATTCAAGGATAAACAGGGCTGTAAACAGGGGTAAGCACCGCGTCATCTCTCAGGTCATTCCAGGTCATGATTAATTGTATTTACACATCAGTCATGCTCAGGTGTCAACACTACAATGATATCTGTGGGGCGGGGCGGGGCGGGGCGGGGCGGGGTGAATGGCAGGGTAAAGAGGGTATGGAAGGACAGGGAGTGGAGGTGTGGTTGCTGTTCTCCCTCCAACAGCAGCTGGTGATGCTAAGATTAATTAAATGTAAAATTTCTATTTTGATGGTCAATTAATTTTGTGGGTGTCACTGGTGACACAACACATCACTTATCAAAGCTGCAGCAATATTGATAAAATACTCAGAGTCAAGCTATAACCTTCCTTCTTTATATTGAATATATATATTGAAAAATATATACATCAATACTCCGTGTGACAATAACAGTGTTTGTGTAGGTGTGGCTCTTTCAGTTGTGATTTATTGTGTGTACTGTGAGTAGTGTCAACTGTGTGTGTACTGTGGGTAGTGTCAACTGTGTGTGTGTACTGTGAGTAGTGTCAACTGTGTGTGTACTGTGGGTAGTGTCAACTGTGTGTGTACTGTGAGTAGTGTCAACTGTGTGTGTACTGTGGGTAGTGTCAACTGTGTGTGTGTGTACTGTGAGTAGTGTCAACTGTGTGTGTACTGTGGAGTAGTGTCAACTTGGGGTGTGTACTGTGAGTAGTGTCAACTGTGTGTGTACTGTGAGTAGTGTCAACTGTGTGTGTTGTGTAGTGTCAACTGTGTGTACTGTGGTAGTGTCAACTGTGTGTGTACTGTGAGTAGTGTCAACTGTGTGTGTACTGTGAGTAGTGTCAACTGGTGTGTACTGTGAGTAGTGTCAACTGTGTGTGTACTGTGAGTAGTGTCAACTGTGTGTGTACTGTGAGTAGTGTCAACTATGTGTGTACTGTGAGTAGTGTCAACTGTGTGTGTACTGTGAGTAGTGTCAACTGTGTGTACTGTGAGTAGTGTCAACTGTGTGTGTGTACTGTGGTAGTGTCAACTGTGTGGTTGTACTGTGAGTAGTGTCAACTTGTGTGTACTGTGGTAGTGTCAACTGTGGTGTGTACTGTGAGTAGTGTCAACTGTGTGTGTACTGTGGGTAGTGTCAACTGTGTGTGTGTGTACTGTGAGTAGTGTCAACTGTGTGTGTACTGTGAGTAGTGTCAACTGTGTGTGTACTGTGAGTAGTGTCAACTGTGTGTGTACTGTGAGTAGTGTCAACTGTGTGTGTACTGTGAGTAGTGTCAACTGTGTGTGTACTGTGAGTAGTGTCAACTGTGTGTGTACTGTTAGTGTCAACTGTGTGTGTACTGTGGGTAGTGTCAACTGTGTGTGTACTGTGAGTAGTGTCAACTGTGTGTGTACTGTGGTAGTGTCAACTGTGTGTGTACTGTGAGTAGTGTCAACTGTGTGTGTACTGTGAGTAGTGTCAACTGTGTGTACTGTGAGTGTCAACTGTGTGTGTACTGTGAGTGTCAACTGTGTGTGTACTGTGTCAACTGTGTGTGTACTGTGAGTAGTATCAACTGTGTGTGTGTACTGTGAGTAGTGTCAACTGTGTGTGTGTACTGTGAGTAGTGTCAACTGTGTGTGTGTACTGTGAGTAGTGTCAACTGTGTGTGTGTACTGTGAGTAGTGTCAACTGTGTGTGTACTGTGGGTAGTGTCAACTGTGTGTGTGTGTACTGTGAGTAGTGTCAACTATGTGTGTACTGTGGGTAGTGTCAACTGTGTGTGTACTGTGAGTAGTGTCAACTGTGTGTGTACTGTGAGTAGTGTCAACTGTGTGTGTACTGTGGGTAGTGTCAACTGTGTGTGTACTGTGAGTAGTATCAACTGTGTGTGTACTGTGAGTAGTGTCAACTGTGTGTACTTTGAGTAGTGTCAACTGTGTGTGTACTGTGAGTAGTGTCAACTGTGTGTACTGTGAGTAGTGTTAACTGGTTGTGTACTGTGAGTAGTGTCAACTGTGTGTGTACTGTGAGTAGTGTCAACTGTGTGTGTACTGTGGGTAGTGTCAACTGTGTGTGTACTGTGAGTAGTGTCAACTGTGTGTGTACTGTGGTAGTGTCAACTGTGTGTGTACTGTGAGTAGTGTCAACTGTGTGTGTGTACTGTGAGTAGTGTCAACTGTGTGTGTGACTGTGGTAGTGTCAACTGTGTGTGTACTGTGAGTAGTGTCAACTGTGTGTACTGTGAGTAGTGTTAACTGTGTGTGTACTGTGAGTAGTGTCAACTGTGTATGTACTGTGAGTGTCAACTGTGTGTGTACTGTGAGTAGTATCAACTGTGTGTGTGTACTGTGAGTAGTGTCAACTGTGTGTGTGTACTGTGAGTAGTGTCAACTGTGTGTACTGTGAGTAGTGTTAACTGTGTGTGTACTGTGAGTAGTGTCAACTGTGTGTGTACTGTGAGTAGTGTCAACTGTGTATGTACTGTGAGTAGTGTCAACTGTGTGTGTACTGTGAGTAGTGTCAACTGTGTGTGTACTGTGAGTAGTGTCAACTGTGTGTGTACTGTGAGTAGTGTCAACTGTGTGTGTACTGTGAGTAGTGTCAACTGTGTTGTACTGTGGTAGTGTCAACTGTGTGTGTACTGTGAGTAGTGTCAACTGTGTGTACTGTGAGTAGTGTCAACTGTGTGTGTACTGTGAGTAGTGTCAACTGTGTGTGTACTGTGAGTAGTGTCAACTGTGTGTGTACTGTGAGTAGTGTCAACTGTGTGTACTGTGAGTAGTGTCAACTGTGTGTGTACTGTGAGTAGTGTCAACTGTGTGTGTGTACTGTGAGTAGTGTCAACTGTGTGTGTACTGTGAGTAGTGTCAACTGTGTGTGTACTGTGAGTAGTGTCAACTGTGCGTGTGTACTGTGAGTAGTGTCAACTGTGTGTGTACTGTGAGTAGTGTCAACTGTGTGTGTACTGTGAGTAGTGTCAACTGTGTATGTACTGTGAGTAGTGTTAACTGTGTGTGTACTGTGAGTAGTGTCAACTGTGGTTGTGTACTGATACGTCTAACTGTGTGTTCTGGAATGTCAACTGAATGTGACTGATATAAACCTCTTCAAATCTTGGTGTATGTGGTAGTTCATTCTGAAATAGGAGTGGGTGTCCAACACATGTTAATGTATGTGAAGTAGTGTCAACGTGAGTGTTTTACTGTGAGCAGGAACTTGTCAACTGTGCAGCAGCTTCACTATACTGGTATATCCTCAACTTATATACTGTGAGTATTCCTTTTTGTACTGTGAGTAAGACGTGTCTGTAGTAACCTTGCGTACTTAGAGGAGCCATCACATGCAACTCAGGGACATTCAACATTTACTTATAGTGACCAAGGTAATCAGCTACATCACACTGAAAGTAACTTGAGCCCATTATACAATATTTCAAAAAACTCTGCGTTGCATGTCAACTTGTGGATAATACCACAGTACTAATCCTGGTTGATGGTCCTGATTTCACTATTGAGTCTGGTCACGGACCGGCAGGGACGTCAGACCTAAACCTCTCCAGAGTATACTGCAAGCTACACGGACTCAATTATATATATTCTGTACAAACATATGCAAGGTAATTCCCCAAACAGTTTGGAAAGTATTTTGACCAATTCTATACCATCTTCACATTAAGGTGAAGAATCCCAATCATGCACGTTAGCCATAAACCAATGGTTATATACAACAGTTAAGACAACGCAACAAACTTGACAATATTGAGAGTTACCTGAATAATATGACATGTATTTGTCGCTGTCTACCAGTACAACACTGAACAACCGTGAACACACTGCACTGTCCCAGCCACTGGCCCAACACTGCACTTCAAAGGACACAACGTCACGATACAGTAGTACACCCATCCCTGCATTAAACACCGGGAAAATACATAAATCACTACAATATACAATATTCCACAATCCTTATATACGCCAGGAATACACACTTTTCGGTGTATTGCATAAGATAACACTTTGTGATATACAATGAGAACATACCATCTGTGTATACACTATCAGCCTAATACGAGGTATGAAACGGTGATGAAATGTATTACCCGAAACGTCATCACACTGAGTGACACTGTCTCTCAAGCAAGATGTCTCCAGAGCACCTGTCTTTGATTAGTAGATGGAATAACTACACTCCTTCTGCTGTGAATAACATGCACTGAACGGTGGATCAAACCACTATATCTTATGCTATGAATGACCCACTAGCACAAGATTCTATAAGAAATAATTTAGCATCCCCTTATTATAATAAAAAATATTTTTTTGGGTTATACCCTCCGACCTCTAACTGAGGTCCTCTTCAGCAGATATAATGCATGTGGATCTTTACTTATCGACGAGTATTCGTTATATATCTGTTGTTAATATTAATTTAACCAGCAGGTTGTAGCAGAGACGGTCATGCACACAGTTCTGGGTCTAGTGTTGGCACTCTCCACCTGTGCACTCGTCCAAGGTAAGTCACCACGCACTCTTACTGACTTAAATGTACTTGTTCCAGCAGTAGACGAGCCTCTAATCTAACCTGCACTCTAGAAATGCTGCAACACTTCTCTCATCAGTGCTACATCAACACTTGCTTCGTCAGTGCTACATCAACACCTTCAGTGACGCATCAAAGATACATCACTGTTGACACCTAGGTGACGCTCTACCACTGCACCTAGGTGACGCTCTACCACTGCAGGCTATATATCATCCAGCTGGCTCAGTTTATGTCACACTTTTTCCAGGGTTATTTTATTTTTACTCATCAGGGGGCGTTGACCCCCGAAACCCTCTCCAGGTAAAGTCCAGGTAAACACAATATTGCTGCACATTAACAGCAACTTTCAAGGCAGGTGAAATTGCTGACTAGAAAATGTACAGAGAACCTTCACGGCGCACATAACTGCGATAAAACACTTCAATTACTGGGAACACTTGAAGTTCCTAAACCTGTACTCTCTAGAACTCAGGCGAGAGAGATACATGATTATATACACTTGGAAAATCCTAGAGGGACTAGTACCAAACTTGCACACGAAAATCACTCCCTATGAAAGCAAAAGCCTCGACAGACGATGCAACATCCCCCCAGTGAAAAGCAGGGGTGCCACTAGCACGATAAGAGATGACACATTAAGTGTCAGGGGCCCAAGACTGTTCACCTGCTTTCCAGCATACATAAGGGGGTTGACCAATAGACCCCTGGCTGTCTTCAAGCAGGCAATGGACAGGCACCTAAAGTCAGTACTTGGCCAGCCAGGCCGTGGTTCGTACGTCGGGTTGTGTGCGGCCAACGCAATAGCCTGGTTGATCAGGCCCTAATCCACCATGAGGCCTGGTCACAGACCGGACCGCGGGGGCGTTGACCCTCTAAACCCTCACCAGGTATACTCCAGGTATACAACCATTACGAATGCAGGTGGTAGTCTAAAGGTGTGTAGCAAATGGTGGTAACTAAGTCAGCAAACAAAATACTCAGGAGGACAGAACAAGGGCAAGACAAACACAACATTGGTTGATGTCTTTATGTATTCATCAATAAATACACTATGTATATTATTAATTATTAGAGAGGTCAGAGTGAAATGGAATAATCAAAAAGCAACTCCAACCATGAGGAAGCACAACCTGTGTTTGCACAAGTCTGCCGCCACCCGGCCAGGCGGGTAGGAATAACATCACCTTGGCTAAAGTAGCCGGCTTTCACATTATTGGTGGATAGAACTGGACAATAAGCACAGCAGTGGGGCCCCACAACTGCTACACTTTGAACTGCCAGTTCACTGGTCGAGAGGATATGCTGAATGACCGTGTGACGGATGTCGAATATAACATTATCGGCACACTCCACAACCACCAGACACAGTCACCAAACACAACCACCAGACACAATCACCAAACAACCACCACACACAATCACCAAACACAACCACCAGACACATTATTGCGACCCCTGAATGGGTCACAATGTATATAATGTATATTACCTGTTCATATAATTTTATATTGCTGATATTTGCGATATTAGCTAAATCGTAAATATATTGCTTTATATTATTTGACTTAGTTATATTATTAGGTAGGATGTAACATGTACACCTTATTCAGTGCTCATTGCTCGAGAGTATTAAGTAGCTGATGGCCTTGTCTAACTACCACTCCGCTTGTTTCGCTGCCGGCTTCTCTGTAGTTGCTGGGCAGCAGCAGTCCTCGGAGAGTCAAGTGATCAAGGTGGGGTGATCACATCTCACCTGGGTGAGAGACTGTCTTGGTTTCGCTCTCTTTCTGGTTGACGATGATTCCAACAAGACGTCCCTCTCCAGCTCTCCTTTGCTGGCCCTTGTTGGAAGATCATCTCTGTCACTTTCTTGTTGTTAGTTCTGTGTAACTCTGTTCACAGAGCATAGCCTAGACTTAGTGATTTTCGACGTGGTAATGAGGCTGTGTGTCACACTGACACTCTGATCTCAGGTCCTGAGCTGTAGCTTCTGACCTAATTTGTACTGCTATCTGTGCACTGTCACAGTCCAGGATTTTCTAATGCTGAACTTAGATTCATTAGTATGGGAGTTTTGTGACTTTTGTGGAGGATCTGCTGATGGTCCCTACTTAGTATCGTTATGTTATCTCCTTGTTCCTGAATCTGTGTTGCTGCTGCTTGTTATATTGCTGTTCGGCGTATCAGTCGTTTTACTGTTCAAGCAAGCTGTTCTGATTGCCAGGTTGGTCAGGAAGTTAGTTTATGTGAGGACTTTTAGTCAGTCACTGGTTAAGTCTAGTCGAGTCTTGAGACATAGTGAACTACTTAGAGCACTTACACACACACATACTCACTTGTATATTCGTATTAGTATTATGTTCTTAAATGCTAACAATGTATCAGACGGTACTTAATGCCATAAAGAGGTGATATGTGCCTTCAGCACAATACTACTGTACACCAGAGACGTGTAGGAACTTGTATCCTATATTATGATAAATTGATTACTTTGAATTACTTTGATATTGTCCACCTAGACAACTTTACCTTTATTAATAAACTTATTAAATTATAATTTCTTTAGTTAGTAGCCTACCAGTTGTAATCCTGAAGCACTATTGAATCTTACTAAATTCTAATGGATAATTGGACCAGGATATTGACTACTTGTTACAAAACCCAGTAACAGGCTGGATGTAAAGTAAAAGGACACAAGTGCAACTGATGTGACATTTTATTGTGGCAACGTTTCGCTCTCCAGGAGCGAAACGTTGCCACAATAAAATGTCACATTAGTTGCACTTGTGTCCTTTTACTTTACATATTGTCGGTAATTCTACCAACTTCATTACAACAGGCTGGATGCTAGAAGGGAAGTCCTTTCTAGTATTACCTGGAGATCTCTATCATTATTAGATATCGTGTTTTTTGTGACACACAATCACCAAACACAACCACCAGACAATCACCAAACAACCACCAGACACAATCACCAATCACCAGACACAATCACCAAACACAACCACCAGACACAATCACCAAACACAACCACTAGACAGTCACCAAACACAACCACCAGACACAATCACCAAACACAACCACCAGACACAATCACCAGACAACATGCAGACAAAACCAGCAGACAATCACTAGACACAATAGTTGTCTGTTACTCGAGCAAACCACAAGGCCACCCTTCTGTTTCTCTAGGACAAGACAAGAATTATATCTTACACAGTTCACGATATAAAAGATAATAACTCAACAATCAGACAAATAACCTGTGGAAACAATTTAAGACTGAGAGTAAAATTTTGAACAATAACTCTGAGAAAAGCGACGACATCCCACCTAACAATGTAAACAATAACACTGCAGTGTTGCCTTTCACGGCTACTCCCTTCATATTTATAAAATGCTCTTGATCCAGGGCATTACATCTCCCCTTTCCATCCTTGTATCAAGCCTTATTAACTCCCATCCCCCCCCTCCTCCAGATGGTGTGTGACCCCTGCGGGTTTAGCGATGAGCGGTGAAAGTAATAATAGTGTTGGAAGGAGATTCTGGCAGCTCATCCCCCTCCCCTTTAAACCCTCAATTTACACATTATTTACGGTCTAACTTTGTAAAATTGATGGTTTTGCCTCGTTGTCTCTTGTTGTAATTAATTCTTTTAGAAAAATATGGAATTGGGGTAATGGAGGAGGAGGATTCTGAGCCATTACCACGTATGTGTGTTTGTGTGTATTTACCTGATTGTACTCACCTAATTGTGGTTGCAGGGGTCGATTCATAGCTCCTGGTCCCGCCTCTTCACTGGTCTGTGTGTGTGAAAACGAGAAAAAGAAAAAGACTATGTAAGAGGGGGAAGAAGATAATTTGAAGAAAACACAAATGAAAGCAACAGAAGAAGCTCTCCTCCGCCTCAGTTAATTTGATCACTGTTGTATAAATGATGAACCTGGGTGATCGTGACTCGACCCCCGCCCCCTGCCAACATTCTGGACACACACTCCCCACCTACCCTCCTGCTGATCAACTCTCCCTACCTACCCACCTGCTGACCAACTCTCCCTACCTACCCTCCTGCTGACCAACTCTCCCTACCTACCCTCCTGCTCACCAACTCTCCCTACCTACCCTCCTGCTGACCAACTCTCCCTACCTACCCTCCTGCTGACCAACTCTCCCTACCTACCCACCTGCTGACCAACTCTCCCTACTACCCTCCTGCTGACCAACTCTCCTACCTACCCTCCTGCTGACCAACTCTCCCTACCTACCCCCCCTGCTGACCAACTCTCCCTACCTACCCACCTGCTGACCAACTCTCCCTACCTACCCTCCTGCTGACCAACTCTCCCTACCTACCCTCCTGCTGACCAACTCTCCCTACCTACCCACCTGCTGATCAACTCTCCCTACCTACCCACCTGCTGACCAACTCTCCCTACCTACCCACCTGCTCACCAACTCTCCCTACCTACCCACCTGCTCACCAACTCTCCCTACTTACCCACCTGCTGACCAACTCTCCCTACCTACCCACCTGCTCACCAACTCTCCCTACCTACCCACCTGCTCACCAACTCTCCCTACCTACCCACCTGCCCCACCAACTCTCCCTAACCTACCCACCTGCTGATCAACTCTCCCTACCTACCCACCTGCTCACCAACTCTCCCTACCTACCCTCCTGCTGAACCAACTCTCCCTACCTACCCTCCCCCGCTGACCAACTCTCCCTACCTACCCTCCTGCCCGACCAATTCTCCCTACCTACCCACCTGCTGACCAAATCTCCCTACCTACCCTCCTGCTGACCAACTCTCCCTACCTACCCTCCTGCTGACCAACTCTCCCTACCTACCCACCTGCTGACCAACTCTCCCTACCTACCCACCTGCTGACCAACTCTCCCTACCTACCCACCTGCTGACCAACTCTCCCCTACCTACCCTCCTGCTGACCAACTCTCCCTACCTACCCTCCTGCTGACCAACTCTACCTACCTACCACCTGCTGACCAACTCTCCCTACCTACCCACCTGCTGACCAACTCTCCCTACCTACCCTCCTGCTGACCAACTCTCCCTACCTACCCTCCTGCTGACCAACTCTCCCTACCTACCCTCCTGCTGACCAACTCTACCTACCTACCCACCTGCTGACCAACTCTCCCTACCTACCCTCCTGCTGACCAACTCTCCCTACCTACCCACCTGCTGACCAACTCTCCCTACCTACCCTCCTGCTGACCAACTCTCCCTACCTACCCACCTGCTGACCAACTCTACCTACCTACCCACCTGCTGACCAACTCTCCCTACCTACCCTCCTGCTGACCAACTCTCCCTACCTACCCTCCTGCTCACCAACTCTCCCTACCTACCCTCCTGCTCACCAACTCTACCTACCTACCCACCTGCTGACCAACTCTCCCTACCTACCCACCTGCTGACCAACTCTACCTACCTACCCACCTGCTGACCAACTCTCCCTACCTACCCTCCTGCTGACCAACTCTCCCTACCTACCCTCCTGCTCACCAACTCTCCCTACCTACCCTCCTGCTCACCAACTCTCCCTACCTACCCTCTTGCTGACCAACTCTCCCTACCTACCCTCCTGCTCACCAACTCTCCCTACCTACCCTCCTGCTCACCAACTCTCCCTACCTACCCTCCTGCTCACCAACTCTCCCTACCTACCCTCCTGCTCACCAACTCTCCCTACCTACCCTCCTGCTCACCAACTCTCCCTACCTACCCTCCTGCTCACCAACTCTCCCTACCTACCCTCCTCTCACCAACTCTCCCTACCTACCCTCCTGCTGACCAACTCTCCCTACCTACCCTCCTGCTCACCAACTCTCCCTACCTACCCTCCTGCTGACCAACTCTCCCTACCTACCCTCCTGCTCACCAACTCTCCCTACCTACCCACCTGCTGACCAACTTTACTGACTTACCAGAATTATTAATGCTAGCGGAGAGTGGTTATATAACTCTTTCAACATTCTTCAAGAACAGGTCTGTGACCATTTGTCCCCCTTTTGGTCAGGTCTGAGGGTGACGGCGGTGGAGGTGCCACGTGTGGTGCTGGTGGGGGAGAGTGCCACACTGAGGTGCCACTTCGCACTGCGTGGGGAGGCACTGTACTCCCTCAAGTGGTGGAAGGGAGGAAGGCAGTTCTATCAGTTTATCCCCAGAAACTCTCCCAAGATGGTGGCTTTCACTAGTCCTGGAGTCAGAGTTAATGTTGAGTATAATATTTATAGTGTTACCTACATCTCTCTCTCTCTCTCTCTCTCTCTCTCTCTCTCTCTCTCTCTCTCTTGCTCTCTCGCTCTCTCTCTATCCTTCCCTCTCTCTCACTCTCCAGGTATTCCCTCCACTCCACCCTTCCCTCTCACTCTCTCCAGGTATTCCCTCCACTCCCTCCCTCTAGGTATTCCCTCCACTCCACCCTTCCTTCTCACTCTTTCCAGGTATTCCCTCCACTCCCTCTCTCCAGGTATTCCCTCCACTCCCTCCCTCTAGGTATTCCCTCCACTCTTACATAACACAAGAGCAGCACTCTAGTAGACCAGCTTGCCCATGCTGGGCAAGTCTTTGTCTAATCTTATTGTTAAAACTATCCCTAAGGTATTAACTTTAATGTCTCTACAGTTCAACTTGTTCCATCCATCAACTGGTCAACCACCACCATATATATTCTTCGTAAATCTGTGTTTATCTACCTTCTTGGATACCCTCAATTCATACTTTATGTCACTTCGTTCAACCTGTCTTCATCTTGTGTACTTCAGACATATATTCCGTCATTCTACGTCTTTCAAGAGAGTGAAGGTTCAGGGCTCTTATCTTCCTATGAAAGATTTCGTCTAAAGTAGATTAATTTTGTTATTGTTCTGATATACAGAGTTGTAGTGCAGCTCTCCAGTTACTTATACTTCATATAAATCCAAGTGATCTCTTAACCTTATTACCGACACTTAGGAACTGTTGTCTTGCCATCGGATTTCTTCTTACCATAATTTACAAGTAACTTTCACATTCTCGATGATCAATTTCTACATTATTTTGTTTACAATTCATCTGTAATAAAGAGTGTACAGAGGATGAGTTTGGGAAATACTTGTACAGTGTGTCATTCTGCGCAGGAAGACTTTAGTAGGACAATGAGAATATCGTCAAGTGTTCCAGTAAAGGTTGATCAGTTATGACAGCTTCCAAGGCGTCCTTCCAGCAGAGTTACTGTCACTTGGGTATTACCATCTCTCAGCACCGCCTCTACCATACACACCAGAAATTTTTTGACGATTTTTCCATCATCAAGAATAAAAAGAAGTGACAGTAGCCTGGCCGGAACAACTCAGCAATAACCCACACACAACGTTCCAGTCTATCCTG